ATGATGACATCAAAGTGCTTCAATTACAATAAATTAATCAGGTACTGTACTAAAAATACTGAAAAGACTTTGAACATGCACACTTGTGCAAACTTAATATGCTTCATTCCTGTGAACATGACAATAGCAGTCAGCTCCTCTAGCCTCAATTCAGATGAATATTAATCAGGGCTTAAATTAAACTGACTATCTTTATCCCTTCCCTTCGGCGTCAACTCTCTAAAGTAAAAATAGCTATGATGAGTGAATAAATAGACGTGTAGAGCAATCCATATTGATCCCTCCAGTGGGTGAGACAGCATTTGCAGCTTACTGCCACGGCCCTGAAACTTAGGATGAAAAAGTTTCAGTCTCTACATGTGAGGTCTCTTTGAAGATCTATCAGATCGATGCTCCTTACTTGTTCACATAATATTCATATAAGAAGAAATGTACATAATGTGCCAAGACAAGCCATTTTTACCCCATCTAAGCACTTCAACTATGAGAAACAAATATTTTACATTGCTCAGGTGTCAACAGTTGCACAGATAACTTGAACTAAATGCATGTATAGTGTTCCTTGCATTGTGGTGTGATCTTGATCAAAACTGATTATTCTGTGGAAATCAAATCATCAATGACTGACCGATGAATATGCACATATTCAAATTCAGTGTGATCGTTTCACACTGTTAACATCAAACTTGGTTGGTTCGAATATATATGCAATTTAATGATATTTGAGAGCTGCAGCTGAGGAGATAGTTATCACTAAATAATAACAAATTAGTTTTCCTCAAACAACACGATTAAAACAAAGCTTTAAGAGCTGGAAAAAGAAAAGTGCACCTATGTATCAATGGCATTGAGTTAAACCTCTAAAACTGGTGCATGTAACAATATTAATCCGTTTCCACGCTTTCTAAGCCTACAAAGTCTGAAACCTTCAGAACAAAGTTGCTACACAAACACTCTGGTGTATTTCCAATATCTGCAAGTCAACCAGCTTCAATACGAGTTGAGTAAACAGCTTTCAAGGCATCATTCTGTAAATCCTATATCTCATTCACCAAGCATGTTGAAGTTTTGTGATACCATTAAATAAATATTAAACTTGTATACTTTTCATACCTTGAGAAAAGTTTCTCCCACTTGCAAGCATTCTGTAACTTTATCAAATGCATGAAAGCCTCCTTTGGGTTGTATCTTTTCCTAGCCTCCAGCCAAGATACATGACTGCAATCTTTCTACATTCTGTAAATGTGGCTTCTTCTTACATTCTAAAGAACTAAAATTAACTTCTACAATATCAATGGCATGGCATTTGAGATGCCTGGGAAAATCGGTACCCACTTGCCTTTCTCCCTTGTGACCTGCAGCATATTGATTCAGTTATGATTCCCTCATCTCCAAATTTCACTAGTATTCAGTGTATTATCTGGACCGGGTCATTCTAATATGTTGATATGGTACTAAAGAAACATTTATGATGAAAACTGTTGTGCTGCTTAATATTTTTGTGGAAACCACGATACATATGTTTCAGGTTTGTTTGACAAGTAGAAAGTTCCAAAGAACAGCATTTATTTGAAGTATATTTTGGTTGCAAAAGTCTTTACTGTTTCTTTTGATTAATTTAATGCATCCTTATTAATTTCTAAAGAAAAAAAATCTTATTGACCAAAACTTGAAGCAGTAGTGTGTATATAGGTCAGGATTTCAAAACAGGTCCCCTTGCATGCTAAAAGAAAATTAGGTAACACTTTAGTTTAGGGACCAACTAGTTGCTTATTAGCATGCACATTACTAGCATATTGGTTGTTTATTAAGTACTTATAAAGCACATATTAATGCCTTATTCTGCATGACCATATTTTAGAACCTTTAATCCTACCCTATCTCTAAACTTAACTAGCCTACCTCACTAACTATTAATAAACAGCAAATTAGAATTTTTTTGAGGCAAAATTCTCGTAGTTAAGTGTTAGTTAATAGTGAGAATTGGACCTTAAAATAGAGTGTGACCGAAAACTCAATGTACCATTAGACTAAATTGTCTTAAAGTGCCCCTATTATGCCTTTTCGAATATTACCTTTCATGCAGTGTGTCATGTAGCAGTATGTGAACATAAACTATCTGCAAAGTTGTGAAGCCGACAGTGCACGATAAATAAAGTTATTGTCTATCAAAATAAAGAGTTGGCTCGCAATCGCCTAAACGAGTCGTCAGGAATTCGAATCTTATTCCATTACGGCTCTACGTCATGAAGTAAAACATTTGCATAATGACCGCCCACGTTCTACGTCGCCAACTTGCCCGCCCAGGTGCCCACAAGCAGTAAAATTTCTGTGTGGTTGACATCATGTCGAGAAGACGCTGTATCCTACACTGTGAGAGTAAATTTGTTTTATCAAAGGGCGTTTCGTTTCTGACACGCGCTGTACGCGTTGAACCAATCCAGAGCCAATCTCCCTACGGCTCTGGACCGATCACAAAGGACTGTGCCATCTGACCAATCACAGCAGTGAGGGCTCACGGAAAGGAGGGGTTTAGAGAGACTGATTCTTTGAACTGCTTCGCACGAGTCGTTTACGAATCATTTAGAAATTAGGTAAAATTAAATCTATTTTTTTAGAAAACTAACGTGTTTTTTGACCTTGCATGCATGTAAACCTGTTTTAGGAGACTCATAAAACAATATTAGCAACCTTAAAAATGGCATAATAGGGGCACTTTAAATAAGGAATAACACTGCTGAAGGACTGCCAAAAGCACCCAAAAAGCAAAACTGTGATCTGAGCAACCGTAAATGTAACAAAGAATATTTTTAATCTAAAAGAATCATTGCCAACTCAACTGCCCTATATAGCAGAAACCGGTTCTTGTAACACCTTGTCAATTCTTTTGATCAAAGGCGAGAGCTTGCTCTCTTCAGAAGTTGTGTTTTGGAACGTACTAGCTTTCGACAGTTTCTTCAGCGTTGCATACATATTAGCAATGTGTTGCACCACATCACTCTCTGAGTCTGCCTGGAGTGGGTGGGAGTCTCTCGCCTTTTTGATCTCGAGTCAGTTCAGGGGCTTGAGAATGCAAATGTCTTTGAATGTCTCCTGTGACTATGAAAGCACTCTGTCACCAGGCCATTCCAACATATATTTCTCAACTCAATTTCACACACAGGAAGCATACCTGCATTCCTCATTTTATACATGCCAAACATTTCAACATAACATACATATTTCTACCACTTAATGTTCGTGCCATGCATTTCTCACATGCAGAAATCTAGTGTTCTGCTGTTTTATAATGTCTGAACATCACTTTAAAAGCAGAAAAGTATCCAGTAAGGATGAAACATTCAGCAGAGCATGAACTAAGCAGCCCTCCAGCTGAGTAATAATGCTGTGTTTTGTTCATTCAGGCTTGGTTTCAGCTTATATGTCACATCCCTGATGACCAATCATGAAGCAGAATAAAAAGTGTTTTTAAGAGCCAAAGCATTCATACAAAAACACCCAGAGCAAGATAAGGTATGAGATCCCTTGAGATGATACGGCAAGACTCTTTGAACAACCACACTACAGTACAAAGTGTTTAAAATATATAATCACTCAAGAGTTTTGCAACAGATCTGTAGGGAGTGCCCATTTTTCAGTGGAATAAAACAGCAGGCCAGCAGTACAAGCAAGGAGTTACACTGAACAATGTACACTCCCTAAAGATCTATTATCTCTAAAGAGGTGTGCATTTTTTGTGCACACGTCTTTAATGTAAAAGGTATATTCTCAGTTATTTTATTCTCTTGACTGCATGCTGAGACTAGACATCTTCAAAATGCTGACTACAAAAGGTTTGGATATGTAATTCTAGCTTTTGGCCCTATCCAGGATGCAAATTACAGTATTGGGTACAGTATGACTCGCCAATTAAGGATGGAGCCACCAAAAGGAAGTCAAAAAAGCTTGTTAATATGCATTTCTTTTACCATGTCTTCATTAAACATACAAATGTACAACACAAAACTTCAAACAAACTCTATAATGGTTTGCCCAAGTCAGTCAAGCAAATACTTAAAAACACACTACTTTTTTCATATTGTTTTACAGAAAACAATGTAAACAATGAAACTCTAACAACTAAAAATTTTTTAAACTGCATGTCATTATTTAAAACTAATTGGAGGCCATCCATCACCTGCACAGATAGTTGTTTATTATAGGTAAAATGTTATTTATAAAAGCATAGGCATTTAAAGAATTTAAGGAATGTTAGTGGAATTGATATCATATTTGAAACCAGACCAAACAAAAATCTAAGAAACAATAAACTTAATTTTTTCAAAGATTCAGGATTATTATATAATTATAGGTGGGTTATTGTTTGATCCTATTAAGATTTCCAAATCCCCATTTGTTTTCCAAATTAAAATATTATCATATTTCTATAAATGTGCAAGTAAACTTTTTGTTTCATAATTGTTTTTCTCTTTACAAGTTGCTGCTATGACTGCCATAATAGGCTGTGTAGCGAAAGGTTCCATTGGGACAACAGTACATACAGCATACTGTACATGCAGGGCTATTGGGGCATGTTGTCACAAAGGTAAACATGTAGTGTATATCAGTACTGTACAAAGAACTGCATATGTTTCCTATACAAGAACGAAAATGTCAAATAGGTTTTTGTTGTGAGGACTTTAAATCACTTTAAAAAATAATTCGACCCTTAGAAATATATACCAACGTTAAACGAGTGACAGCTAGTCCCCGTTTCCCCAACATAGCCCATCATTCCACAAATCAACTTTAATAAGCATTCAATGGCAGAAAAAGCACTAGATCATACATGTGCCTGAAGTGAAGTGATGCTAATTCTTGACATTATTCATAACCTTACAAAACTGGTTTGCTTGATCTGCCAATGCGATACAGTTACAATCGATAAGTCGTCATTCAACGCAAGTTTCGAGAAATGACAGATCATTACAGCGACACAGATGTCCTCAGAGATAACCTACCTCGCATTGGGTTTTGAATCCAGAGGATTCCCCCGATAAGGTGAGGAGACTGCCCTAACATCATGGTACCAGAGCAGGTGGTCGAAACACAAACGAAACACCTGTCTGACAGAAGTGTCCAGCTCGCGCGCCTTATGAAAGCTGATTAATAATAACACGCTCGCGCCAGTCCGCTGCTCCTCAATGAAGAGCGCATTCGCATCTCGATGACCTACGTGAAAGAGTCGCACAAAATACGGGTTCTACACATTAAAATGGTTCATTCGGAGTAGGAACATGCTGTATTGTGTTCTGTTCCTCTCAATGGTGTTCCGCGGCGAGATGTGAATCAGTGGGTGTACGTGCAGATGCTGAATGATGCAGATCGTGAATCTTTACAGTATATGCATAGACTGATTTCAAGCCCACGGGCCCCGCGAGCCCATCTCCATGCCTTAGGTTTCCAATGCAGGAGCAGGACAAAGATCTGCGGCTGATCGGCAGCCAATCATAATCCCAATCCGGCTGAGGGGAAGCTTCGCTTGTTTGTTTATTTGTTTGTTTGTTTGTTTGTTTTTTTGCTTGCAGTTGAAGCATTCTTTTCAATAAACAAACGTTTCCGCAGAAATACATATCGAGACGTTTGTTAAAGTCTTACCTTGAACAGCCATGCTGCTACTCCATGAGTTCGCGCATTATGGGAAGGAAGGTAAAGCTGTAGGTTGTCAGAGTAGCCTGCCCCACTCTACCAAAGCGTCTGGCTTATTAACACTCGCAAGCAACCTCTGTTAAAGCCGAGTGTGCTGAAAAAGCATGAAATGTGTACTCAAAGAACCATGGGTATTGTAGTTCCACCTTAAGTTACTGGATCTGTAACCACGTTGTTAAACCGGTTTCAACTAATTATATTAGTCAGCATATACATGTTTGTTTGTTTGTTAGTTAGCTTGTTTAAATATTAAATAGGCCTATATGTATTTATTTATTTCAAATATTAATAAATATTTAGGCTAACATTCATCCAACATTCAATATAGGCTATAGGCTACACGCCGTATGCATTTTAAATTTAATTTTATCTTTCTACGGTTGAGAATTTATTTATTTATTTATTTGATTGATTGATTGATTGATTGGTTGGTTGATTGATTAACTTTGACATTTACATTTATCCAAAGCAATTTACATGCATGGGAGAATATTAGGCTGCGAGAAATGTGGGTGTTACGCCTTTGAAAGTAAACTGTTTGTCAACTCTGACAGAAAAAAAAAAACATCTTATTTTATTTAAATATTTGATGATTATGTTTTAAGAAATGTCTATATATATAGCCTTTTTTTTTTTTTTTTTAGGTTACAAACACATTCTAAGCTGCAAGAAATTTGGGGTGTTGCTCACAAATATGGCTCATTTTTGTGGAATTTGTACTTGTGAAACTGTGAACCTGTTGCATACCTCTAACTCACTGGATATTGTTTTTGAAAAGTTCTGACTATTGTGACCAAGGTTTCTTCATTGTTATCATTTCTAACATTTTTGAAAGACAGCCATATAAATCTTAACCTACAAACTTCCAAACTGTAAGTCAAAGGCCCCTTCAAAACGTGCTATTGTTCAAAGTTGGTGTGCTTTTTTCTCATATGGTAGCTAGCGCAAATGTTTCCTTTGACTTTTTCAGCTCTAGCTGTCCAAAAAGGACAACACTGAGTCAGAACAACTGGAGAGCCACATAAATTCTTTATTGAGCTCTTAATCAGGGCCACTTCCCGGGAAAGAGTTTGACATTGCAGGGAGGGACAGAAGCTAGTATAAAGTGAAGAATGCAGAGACTGAAGAGGCATCATTATAGATACAGATCACTGTCTGCAAAACTCAGGCTTTCTCAATTTCTTTTGCATGAGTGAATACAATAATGATGAGCATGAAGCCTTTAGAAAACTATTATCAAGTAAACCTACATCCCTATTACTGTGAACTGATCACATCACAACCTAATTCAGGTTATGGGAAATGTGTTAGAATATATGTCATCTATAATTACACATGGTTCACTTTGGGTCTTCTGTGTGGCAGTATGAAAGTATTTTGAACAGGTTTAGTTGAGCAAAAAGAAAAAAAACCCCTGCACATTTCAATCAATCTTGTTGAACCCACTCTAATGAAATGCCTGTCTTGGGGGTACTTTTGTGGCAGGGAGATGGAGAACAATATCTGTACACAAATATAGTGGAGGCATCCTACATTAAGAACAAGGTCATTATCCAAGTCTCAGGAAAGTAAAACACCAGTAATTTCATCTTCCAGCTGTAATTTGTGACAATTAGAGGTCGCCTTTTGGCAGCTCAATGACCCTCGAGGCTCTTGTTCAACCAACTACCACAGACAGCCAGTGAATGGAGAGTGTGCTTCCAGATCAATGTCATTACAGTTGGAGCCCCTTGGTAGACATCATGGATCCTGGAACAAATAATGACCATTTTGGGTCTGACCCATACTTTTATACTTTTTATTTTATTTAGTTTTCATCAGTGGGCACCTAACTTTGTAGATAATTAGCAAATATGGAGCACACTGTATATGAAGTGTAAACTACTATTATGTAATTGACCTAACTTGAAACCATCAGGTTGAGCTACAGAGCTTGCCTGTCCATCAGGTCCAGGTAAAAGATTTTGTTCCACATTTTTATGTCATGATACAGCACTTCCTGTTAATGTTTTTTTATTCCGCATTCCTGATGATTACAGTCAGCTCTAGTTTTTCTGGTTTCCAAACAAATGACAATCAAAGAATGTTTAATTGAAAGAGAACAACTGCACACTCATTTAAGCAGAGGCTATTTATTATCCAACGTTTCGGCTAGTAGCCTTTGTCAAAGTATAGTTTCACAAAATGGAGAGTAGTATAAGTAAAGGAGATAATTGTACACAGCTGAGAGTGGTGAGATTTTGTTGGATTGTAATTTGCATTTATTCTGTTTGTATAGATCAATTTGTTGATGTAGCTACTTTCCATGTTAGAGTCTAATTGTCAATTGGTTAATTATTGGATGATTTGGATCTCACCACTCTCAGCTGTGTACAGTTGTCTCCTTTACTTATACTCTCCATTTTGTGAAACTATAACTTGACAAAGGCTATAGCCGAAATGTTGCATAATAAATAGCCTCTGCTTAAGTGAGTGTGTAGTTGTTCTTTCAAATAGGTTTTTCTACAGGTGTGTGTGCGCTTTGCTTCACTTGCTCAATCAAAGAATGTTTGGCATTGCTTATCAGTTTGCTCTGTGACTAAAGGTGTTGTTCTGCTACATGACTGTCTTCATGCACTTACTGTACTGTAGGTTGACAATTCCCATAAGCTTCCCATAAACATGCGGCCATTTGTTGCTGTAATGTGACATATTTTGAAAGAGACAGCCACTGCTTATTTATTTTCGTTTTAAATCACCCTGAAAGAAAAAGAAAAATCATGTGCTTCTTGCAAAGTAGGCTACTTCCAAATGTCCAAATTGTCTAAAGACAGCATCTGTGAATGAATATGTAAAGGACAGATTTTATTGTCAGTTCTATACTAATTGAAACAAAGACCCATCTTGCTTTACTCAAATACTTGTATTTTATTAAAAATACATCATGTACTAAATGCAGAGATAATTTCCAGTTTCATAATGACTGCAAATACATGGCAAGGAGGAAATTGTAGCGTTAGTGCACTGCTCCCTCTTCTGGATGATTTACAGTATGACAAATAATATACTAACAGCAGCCCTTTTTATCTCTACTGTATAGCCTTAATGCAAAAAATCCAATTCGTTTTAGTAGTTTCCTATTTACAAAGCATGATTCAATGAAACAAATCTTTGTACATGCATACACATAAATAAGCAAACACGGCAAGCGCTGAGACAGCTCAGAAAACTCAGTCTGCAAACTTACAAACTGTAATACATACATGTAAACAGTTAGAACCATAATAATTTAATAATATAATTTAACAATATTCTATATTTTATCAATAGCAGCAAAATCTTTCACATTCAGTTCAGAGTCCCAACACTGTGTCATATTAACAGAGTAATAATGACGCCATCATCCCGGCCCTGCCACAGCATCTCCCCCTCAAAAGCCACCTTTCCATGCTTCCTGGCCCTCATTAGTATTCCCACGACTTTATCAGAGATCCGCACATATCTGTCAAACAGATCGCCAAAAGTCACTCTAGTGTAACTGTCTGGATCCGGGTCCACCATGGTCCTTATGATGAAGCACATGTCATCAATCTCCCGGTGGATGTGTGCCTCTGCGCGTTTGGCCCTCTCTGCTGTCTTACTGCCCTCTTTGGGCCTCCCATAGCCCTCCTCACCCCGCCGCAGCCGTGTTGACATGGAGTACTCATAATCAAAGTCCTCGCTGAAGGGGTTGAGCTTCTGATTGACGGTATGCTCTGATGCCCAGTTATGCCAGCGGCTTTTTAAGTTGCCCACAGCACTGTATTTTTTGGACAGGGTATTTATTTTGTTGGCATCTTCAACATCCTTCTTGCCCCTAAAAAGATAGCATATTATTTAGAATAATGCATATTATTTATAAAACAATGTTTGTTTTATAACTTGTAATGCTAGTAGGCTACTTAAGTGCAACAAAATGTGCTATACTATAGCCATTTGATCATATTTGTTTAAAGCAACTGTATGTATAGGAGTGGGCGATATATACCATAGACACAATTAACTGGTAGAAATTTTTCAACTGGTAGAGATTTTGGACTGTTGTCTCCATCATGGTTACACATTCACGTGACGTTGATGTGCTACATGGTCATGAAAATTAATCATTTTCATGCATTTTAAAGCATTGCAGTTTAAAAACAAGTGATTTTAAACCGTTGAAACGCAATCAGCAATGAAAGAGAACTCATTTCGCTATATGCATGCTTTAGTTCGCTATATTTCGCTATAGTTATTTTTGACACTTTATAGGCCTTGAATGGTTAAATACACACACTTGTATGTGTCAAAATGCCTGTCTTTGCATGTATCCTCGTAAACACAATAGGTCTTCGTGAAAGCAAACAGCTGAGAAAGAAAACACTATAACAATAAGTTGGATCCAGGCTGCTCTTAAAGTGACAGCAGTCTAATCTTCCTGCTGTCTATCATTCATGTTAATCAAACAACAAAAGAGAGAAAATCTTTCACTGCTCTTGACTAAATCACTTTTGTAATTTAATATTAAGAAATATATATTTAATTTACACAGTGAAGAATATGTCGTTTTTATACATTTGATTACTTCATATAATGTAGCATTTCTTATTTATTTGTTCTACTGTAGTTATTTTGTCCTGTTGCTTGTA